CCCCCAGACTGCACTGTCCACTTTTTAGCCAGGTTTGCCATTTATTGCAATGGCCACATAACTCACAGATAATGCTCAAGAGTAGCTGATTTATTAAGGAAGCTAGGTTATAAAAGCTATATAGGTTGAAAAGCTATACAGTAATTCAGACAACAGCCTCTTGTCAGCCTTACATGCAGGCAAGCCTTTCTTTGATCTTTCGCCTTTCAGCTGCATAGCCCATTGTTTTCTGTGCCTGACTCCTGCAGAGCTCTTTTAGGGCTGCCACTACGTACTCAAAGGGCATCCCACTCTGCCAGAAGTCTCAGCCAGAAGGCACTCAATTCTAGCTTATGGTCAGCAAACCTAGCTCTCCCAGATAAGTGCCTAGTGTACCCTACCCCACAAATCAGTCTCTTGTCCAAAGGGACTCAGTGTTACTTGCTCTGGGAAGTTCATCACTCCGTTGTAGTCTATGGATTTTGATTCCTCTGATGTCACAGCTGTCTCTTGGATCAAGGTGTCTCCACGTGCAGGGACCCTAGGGACCTCTCGTGGCTCTTCTCTCTTGCTGGAAGGTCCCCATTCTGCTTCTGTAGTGGTTCATTTTGTCCCCAACAGGACGGCATTCACAATTAGCCCTGTTAACAGTCACTCACAACAGAAATATATAATCATACCAATGTCTTCCCCTACCTTCTTTTAACTGGACCCATCAGGAAAAACTTTGTCTGGTGGAAGTTACAAAGACTATGTCTACAAGAGCCGTATTAAATAGTACTCAGTACTGCAGTGGAGTCCTATAACTGGCTTAGAAAAATAAACTGGGGTGAAATAGATCATTGGGAGTCTGCCAAATTGTACACTGTAGCAGCGATCCCTACTTGTATACCAATAATTTCAGTACTGTATACTTTCAGTACTATAATCTTGTGTAAAAGAGCCAGTGCATCATCTCATGCCTCACTTCCATTTATTTCTCCCATAGGACACATGCATTCCTTCCCACTCTGCTTCCAAGAACTCCCCTTTTCAAGAAACTCATACTTAACTTGGCATTTCAGGTGTCTATAATCTGATGTTTCTTAGCAATCTATCATTCTTGAACCTGTTACCATTCTTGGCTTCTCCCAAATTCCCTGGATTTATCTATCATGTTTAGTCCCCAAGCCTAGGTTCGACTTGTGCTAACCTTTCCCTTAAGGTACATTTCTTACTCTTCTCCATGTTTGCATTTCCTAGAGATCGGTCTGTTCTGGACCATGCACGCACACTCCCTCCCCCACTTCATTCTGTGCTATCTTCTGTCGTTTGTTTTTGTAGTGTCTGTTCTGGGCAGCACCTCAGATATATTTATATATGTCACAGATCTACATTGGAGACCTAGCATTCCACGTTTTCTTTCCTTCTTGCTGTCAGAATAGTCCTGACACAGGCCTAATATTTAGCAAATAGCTATTTGCTAAATGAATTACCCAACAGGTTACATATATTACTATAAGAAGTTGTTGTTTCTTTAAATTACCTGGGGCTCTCTTATCTTTTAGTTACAAAGATGTTTGTGTTGATAGTGTACATTTTATACGACTACAGTTAGATCTTTGGCATGTATGAATTTAGGATTCTCAGAGAAATCGAAATTATGTGTTTGAGTAACGGTTTTGCCAAGGTTCTGAGGGTTCACCTTAGGAGGTTAGCCAGGTTTGTTTGTAGTAGTCTAGCTAAGCACTCTGCGGCCCCATCCCCACACCTTTCTTACCCTTGCCTGTTGTCACATATGAAATGACTCGTTAAGGATGTTAAGGGCGTTTCATGGTGAGGTGGTCCATAAAGCATTGGGCTTGTAACCACAGGTCAGCAGTTCAAACCCACTAGCTGTTCCACTAGAGAAAAACGAGGCTGTTTCCTCCCATAAAGATTTATAGCCTCAGAAACCTATGGAGCAGTCCTGCTTTGCCCTATAGAGTAACTGTGAGCCAGAGTGGACTTGACAGCAATGGACAGAAAGGATTTCAAAGTGTAATTTCATATTTTCATCCATACACTGCTACTTTTTATAGAAGATATTGCTAATCTTAGTATTATTCACAAATTTGAGGATTCTCAGCATTTTTCTGATGTATCCCTTGCAAATGCGTAATGTCTAAGGAGAAAGGGTTTTATATACTCTCCATTTCGATTTAACACATCCCTTTAAATGAATGTTAACTTTTCAATGACTTAAAATAGACTGAATCAAATGCAGGTAAGTTAGGAGGAGTGGGGAGACGAGAGACTATCTGTTAGGTTTTAATTTTGCTCAAGAATTAGAGACTGCAGCGTCCCTAGAAGTCTGGTGTTAGAGCAAACGTTTCTTTAATGGATTGGATTATTCCAGTATTCCTGATCAGAGGTCTGTTGTAGCAGGCAGCAGTTTGACACCAGGAAAAATAAATGAATGAAGTGAAATGCAATTGCCTTGCAGGATCCAGCCAGTCCGCTCTGACCCAGTCAGCATGCCAGGGTCATCCCGTCCAGTCTCTGACCGAAGGGGAGTTTCCACAGTGATTGATGCTGCCTCAGGTAGGACACCGCCCCAATTGTCTCCTGGGTGGCGCTTGGCAGTTTTTACCTGTCTTCTTGCACAGTGTTGAGGAGGATATTCATTTGCCGTCCTCTTTTCTTCAGTTTTTGGGGTGAGTGTGTGTGTTATAACGTGGTCCTCTGCCTACATTTGTGGCTACAACAATGACATGCATTAAGGTTGGTACGTGATGCGGTGGGATTGGCACTTGATGAAATATAATGAGCACAGTATGGAAGGCTCCAGGCTCGATGACTGTTTTGCCTTTGATCATTCACATGTGGAGAAGCCACCTTGACAGAGAATGTAAATACAATATATGGATTCAATTTACTTAACCTGTTGAGAATCAAAGTAGCTGATCTGTGGAAGTAGAATTCAAATGCTTTAGCTTGAAAGGTTTTGTTATTGAAAGCATAAAGTTTAGAAATTCATTAACTTAACTCTGGTCTATCTATCACCATTATTAAATTCCTATCCATGGAATTGAGGCATGAACATGTATCATTAGTAATGGGAAGCCAATCCTTCGCTTTGTAGGTGAGAATTACTATAGCAGTTGAGTAAAAGCATTGTCCTTCAGTCTGGCTGCTTACATATTAGATATGCTTGCAAGAATACTTTTTTGGAACATTTTATTGTGTTTTCTGTGAAAGTTTATGTAACAAATTAGTTTACCTTACTGTTGAATTTCTACACAAATTGCTGCATGACTTTTGTTTGCTCTCCCCACAGTGTGCCAGCACTCTCCTCATTTCTACCGTGTATTCCCTCCCTAACATCTCCGCTTTGCTTTGGGGCATGCTGTTAAGTTTTTTTTGTTTGTTTGTTTGTTTGGTACCCTGTCTAAGTTTAATAACAGAACAGGGAGGGTGGTTCCTTACATTACTGTGCAGCTGGGGAACATCTGAAGATAACACACAGCAGGATTTTGTCCAAAAAAGTTTCCCACACGTTGAGTTATTAAACACTCAGCCTTAGCCAAACAGTTGAATCAGGGAGGATTTTAATCTATAGTGATTTCAAAATCCCTAGAGACTGCTGATTTGATTGGGGCTTAAACAGTAAAAGAAAATGGACACAAACAGGAAACTCATTTGTGAAGGTCACTTTTACAAGACCAGAACTTCTGCTTCTGACTGTCTCTGGCTACGTTTTGAAGTTATGAAAGCTGTTGGGTTTTGTACAGTTTCTAAGCTCACTGGTTTTTTTGGACAGCGGATTATAACTTGTGTCTTATTTCACTGTTCGCGTCCCCAGCCGTGCCTTCATTTTGAATGAAGTCTTGTATTTCCGAGGACTCGGAATTGTTCCTGTGCTCTAACCTGGCAGCCATGGGTGACTCCTGGAAACAAGCAGAGCAGCGTGGGTCTCTAGCTTTACTCCCCTGGGGGGATGGAGACATGGAGATCGGTGGCTTCATCATTAAACCTGATCGATAGTCTTGATTGGAAATGCTGATAGAACCCCGTCTGGAATGATCATTTACAATGGCAAATTCTGCACTTGGTGTGCTTTCCCTACAGCATGTCTTCTTGATTACAGTAGTAGCCCAGATGGGAGTTTTTAAACATTCTTAGACTGCCAGCGTTTTCATGTTTTCATGAGGAAAAGTCACTAGCTACCAGGATTACGTACATGCCATTAAAGTAGTTACCATATGTATTCTCACTAGAAGTTACCATATTCAGTATGGTCGCCTGACATAATGGTCTATGTTTATTGTGTAGTACTGTCTTTTTTTAACTTTAGCTCTTCACAAAGTTGTCTTACTCAACAAAGAGGGACATCAGAGAAGTGTTGCACTCTAGTTTTGTTCATCTCTTTAAAAAAAAAATGTTTAAAGTTTATTTTTTAATAAGGAATTTAGCCTATGTGCATCTTCATCACAGACACATTGTGGGAGCTTCTTGGCTTATGGGCTTCGGAGCCTCTGCCTGAAAGATGGAGGCTCTTGTGTAAGTAACGATCTTCCTGGTGGCTATGTCCTGTTATTATTGGCTAGGCCAGTTTTCAGTCCAGAAAGCGTTAGTTCCTTTCTGAAAGATAACCCAACAATGAGACCAGTGTGCTACTAGAGCTAGCGGAGCCCTGTCCATGAGAAACTGGCCTTTTACACTTTTATTCTCTTTATCTACCTGCTAAGCAGTCTGGAGACCTTTTGAATAAGGAGCCAATGTTAAACATCGCTTTGAGTGTGTTTGTTTCAAATCTTCATTTATCGCCTATGCTCTGTCTTAAAAAAAAAAAAAGTGTTTTACTGTGTTTGGATGAAAGCTTACGTTCAGCAGTTGACATACACTGTTTGGTGACCTTAGTTACGATCACCTCCATGTAACAGCACTCTGCCTACTTCCTCCTGGGATTCCCAGTTTCATTCATCCTACTTCCCAGCACCCCTTTTACTTTGGAACTTGGCTTTGGGGCAAATGCGGCCCTTTTTTGGTCTCATATGGTTGATTGTTCCACTAGTATGTTCCTCGCAGGTGTTTATTTCATGGTAATAGTCTAGTTTGGGGGGATGTTCTACTAGGCCCTATCAGACTGGTATGTCTGTTCTTTTCCATTGTTTGAATGTTGTGCTACATTTTCCTCTCACCCTTTCAAGGCCTTCCGTTGTGATCACAATCAGAGCAGTAGCTGGGTCCCGTCGAGATCTTCTGGTCCTAGGACATTGGAGTATGTGGTTCACGTGGTCTGCTAGTCCCCTTGACTAATTGTTTCCTTGAGAGTCTTTTATTTCTTTAACTTGTCTTTGCTTTGGACAAAGAGAAACTAGTAGTTGCATCTTAGACAACCACTCACAAGCTTTTTTAAAAAAATTTTTATTGGGTGCTCTTACAGCTCTTATCACAATCCATACATACATTGTGTCGAGCATATTTGTACAGATGTTGCCATATGTTTCAAAATAGTTTCTTTCTACTTGAGCCCTTGGTATCATCTCATCCCCACCCCCTTCCCTCCTTGATAATTTATTTAAAATTTTTGTGTCTTACACTGACCGCTGTCTCCCTTCACCCACTTTTCTGTTGTCCATCCCCCTGGGAGGGGGTTAAATGTCTATCATTGCGATTGGGTCTGCCTTTCTCCCCCCACCTTCCCTTTCCTCTCCTGGTATCATCGCTACTCTCATTATTGGTCCTGAGGGGTTTATATGTCCTGGGTCCCCTGTGTTGCGAGCTCTTCTCTGTACCAGTGTATATGCTCTCGTTTAGCCAGATTTGTAAGGTAGAGTTGGGGTCATGATAGTCAGGGGGCGGGGAGGGGGGGAGGAAGCATTAAAGAACTAGAGGAAAATTGTATGTTTCATCTGTGATATGGTGCACCCTGACTGGATCTCATCTCTTCCTTGTGACCCTTCTGTAAAGGGGATGTTCAATTGTCTACAGATGAGTTTTGGGTCTCCACTCCACCTTCCCCCTCATTCACATCAATATGGTTTTTTCTACTGGGTCTTTGATGCTTGATACCATAAAGGTCAACAAACAGACCTAGAACCATTTATAGGTGTTCCTCTTTTTGTTGTGTTTTTGTTTTTGTTGTTGTTTTGTTTTCTATTGTTGTTTTGCTTTGTCTTGTTTTTGTGCTTATTTTTGTCACAAGTGTCTCAGATCCCAGTGTCTACTCACCAAAGTCGATGTAGAACATTGTCTTTGTGGCCTGTGTTATGCCAGTTGACCTAGATGTCCCCTGAGGGTACAGTCCCAAGTCTGCGGCAAGCCTCCCTCAAGGTGAATAATGTTTTGTTGAGGATCGCCATCTACTTTATTTAATAGCCATTGTGTTAACAGACTTGCTTTTCTACTGATGCTTGACCAGAGAGGCTAACTCGTTTGGATTCTTTATGAACACAATCTATGGGAAGATTCTGTTTTAGATTCTTCTATTAAAGGGGATCTAATACATTTTTATAATTGTTCCTAACCCAGGAAGTGCTTCCCTGATTATGATCCATGCATTGGAGTCAGCTGTGTACTGTGAAGATGCTTATCTAGAGATTTGATTGCTGGCTGCCTGGAGAGAGGATCAGTGTGGCGCCTACTACCCTTTAGACTTCAGGGCTCTGCCTTACCTTCCAGCAGTTTCTGGGTCTAAATTTATTGTCTGTTTTCATTGTTCCTATGGCACATTTTAAAACTGTCCTTCCACTCTAGTGATAGCTCTTTCTCTATTGTCTAACCTGGTGATGGTAATGGTCATTTTCATATAAATCTTTTCAGAGGCATAAACAAAACCCAGTGCCATCTTTCTCAGAATGTATAGAATTAAAAATTTAATGTTATATCATTAAATAATCCCACAGTTACAGTTTTCATATTGAAAACATGTTAGTGTCTGTATTTTATCTTTTAGATATATCTATGTTAATCTGACTATATTATTCCATTGAAAACTAAAAAAGATCAGCAGAATATATGCCACTTTTCCTAAGCCCTGGTGTTGTAGTGGTTATGTATTGGACGGCTAACCACAAGTTCTGAAGTTCAAAACCACCAGCTGCTCTACAGGAGAAAAATTAGGCTTTCTACTCCTAGAAGGAGTTACAACATTGGAAACCCAAAAGGGCAGTTCTTACCTTGTCCGATAGAGTCTCTACAAGTTGGCATCGATGGCAGTGAGTTTGAGTTTTGTTTTTTCCCCTAAGAAACCCCCTTTCACAATTTCTGATTGATGAGGTTTATTTCTGGCTCACACTTTTACATAGAACTACATTCCCTGAAATACCTGTTTTTGCTTATGAATTTCAGGAACTTAGTTAAAGGGCAAATTCCTCATTTTTAGATGCCCTTGGACTAGCTTCTTCCTGTCTGTATGTCAATCTCTGTATTTTTAGACCCAGCAGATCTGGGACTGAGTTAATACTATTTCTCCATAACATCTGTTTCATCTTATCTTTAGTGATCCAGAAATACTACCCTCCCTAAGACTTTGGGTTTGGTAATTTTGGGAGACATTCTCTTCTGAGCCAAAGAATAGATTTTTCTGGAAATGGATC